TTTGATTCCTATGTCTTATGTAAGAACAAAAACGTAAATTACGCTTGATTATCTAGAACTCTAAACGTAAAGTATCTCATACTAATTGGTACCCTAAAGATATCCTCAATTGATTAACTCGACATTCCAGAATATCGAGTTAATCTCTTCGGTAAAATGTCCAAACTAGAATTGACAAAGATATGTCAAATGAAATATGACACATAAGATCGTAATAATATAATGACGTTTTCAAAGTGTACCCTATGTTTTTTCAGACAACTGAACACAATACATAATTAGATTTGGCACGTGCTTCTACACTTGTCCAAGTCATTTTATACTTTTGTTCACACTAGTAGAAAACTGTCTTACAGTGACACTTCTTTAGTGACACTTTTGTCTGTAGTGTCACTGATAAACGACATATAGTATTAATGACATATAAGTGTCATAGTTATATGACACTAAAACATCAATACATAATAATGACACTATATTAAAAAAGTGTTGAATTTTAACCTTTACAAAATTTTCACTTTTCATTTCCCTCCACAAATATATCCCCGCCATCTATTTTTAGTAACCCGCCCTTTCTTTCCTTAACAATTTTTCGTTTCGCTTCTTTTTTCGTATAACTCACACAACCCAAATTGAAAGACCAAAATAAACCAACCTTCTCTCTTGCTTGAAACCCCTTAGTAAGAACCCTAGATTGAGCGATGTTCATTCTCTGCTAAATACACTACTCTCACGCCACTCCTGAAAGCTGCGAAGAAGACGGACGGCTCTCGATCGTCTGGCCTAGGAAGAACATCACGTCTCTCGTCGTCTGGACTGAGAAGAACATCACGGCTCTCGGTCGTGTACGAACACCAACCAATCTGCGCTAATTCAACTCCTAAGAATCGATTGTGTGCGACGATCGATTCTTACTAGGTCATCTACGAAGCTAGAACACAAGATACTCTCAATCTTCTATCAAGCCGCCTGCAGGTTCGTATTATTATTACCCTCCATATAATTTAATGGCATTTTCAGTCCATGGTACAAAACATCGATTTAATGTTGCAATTTTAGTAAATGAATCAACATCGTAATTGTTCTTTGGTAATTTATCTCAGTACGTTGGTGAGTTCAGCATGTTGTATGTGTAAGTTATTGATTGCTTTGAACACACATCCATTGATTCTTGCTTCAAACTCATGGAAGAAATATCAAGGAAGACCTTACTCTCAATCTTTAAGTCCTTACCAATAATTGTGGCTGCCTATGTTCTTGGTTTTTTTTTTTTAATTTTATCCCCTGTTTTTTTGTTTAATTTTCAATGAATATTATGTATATGATTCAGATATGTTTTTATTGTTTTCAATACAAGTGTACCAATAGGCTATGTATTTTTGCTGGAGTTCCTGATTCTGAGGGTTGAAATTGTTTTACATTGGCCTTAGCTTATATTGATTTATCATAAGTAATAAATTGTCTGGACTAGTTACTTTTGAACATTTTTATGGTCTATGGTGTTTTCAATTTGGTGCATATACTCATTTCTTTGGAGTTGGAGCAGTTCCAAAGTGGTACAACTCGTTTATTATATGAATGTATGACAGGTTAAACTTTAATTTTCTGTCAAGCCTAATAGTTTATGTTCCAAACTTGAATTTGGCATAGTTGGGAATCTGTTTTTTTTCAATGAAGTATACTCTTCTTCGTTTGAACACAAACAGGTATATTTTGGCTTTACATTGAATTTTATTCTAAGCCCAACTTAGTAACTCATAAAGAGAGTTAGGGCTCTTCCAAACCTTAAAGATTAACTTATCTGGTATTTGCTTTTAAAAACATCGTTTTTAAGAATTTGTGTGTTATCTATTGTTTGGTTCTAGGCTCAAAGAAGTGAGCAATGAAGATGTACTTAACACATCTTTTCATTTGATCGAATACAAGAGAACCAAACACTTGAGTTGTTGAAGATTTAAAAATCACTGTGTACTACTCTATTAATACAATGTCTTATTATGCAATTAAATATTTTTCATAAAATCTGTAGAAGAAGTAATTTAATTATATGAAATAAACACAAACACTTTTAATGACCTATAAAACAATTCGACCCCAAATGCAGTAAGTTTTATATTTGAAAAAGGAAAATGCAACGAGTTCTTTCTTTGTTTATTAATTGACAAATGTTTGTACTTGACACTTCTTTTCATTTGCTTGAATTCATAAAGAAGAACCAAACACTTTAGCTATTGAAGATTTTGAAGTCACTGTATACTATTAAATATTTTTCTATTGATCCAAGAAAAGATGTGTTAAGTACACCTTCTTTGAAGAACCAAACACTTATAGTACACTGTCTTATTTACTATTAAATATTTTTTCAGAAAATTGATCCAAGGAAATCATTCAAGTATATGAGATAAACGTAAAGGAGAATGCAGCAAGTTTTCAGTTTGAAAAAGGAATATGCACCAAGTTCATTATTTGTTTATTAAATTGAGAAGTGTGATATATATTTGCAATCTATGTTTACAGAGTTTGGGGGGGTCTATTTTTTGTCATTTCAGAATATTATTTTAAATATTTTGGTATTACAAATCAGGTGATAATATTCAAATGGATAGGTCTTGGATAAAGATTCATAACAGATTGTCTGATGAGTACACAAATGGAGTTGACAATTTCATACACTTTGCCATACTCAATGCTGAAAACCGTAGGTCATTTAGGTGCCCTTGCAACAATTGTTGCAACATGGACTTTCAAAGTCCTGAAAAAATTAAAGTCCATCTGTTAAAAGCCGGTTTTTTAGAGACGTACCTTGTTTGGACTAGACACGGGGAGGCTGAAAACACTCCAGCATTTGACAAATCACATCCAACATTTCTCGATCAATGTGAAATTGATGAAATGTTAGGTGATGTATATGAACAGTTGGATAATAATCCGAAGAATTTTGCGGATGTGGTTGAAGATGCTGAGAAGCCATTGTACCCCGGTTCTAGTTATTCAAGGTTGTCTGGGCTAATGTTGTTATTTAACATTAAAGGTAAGTATGGGTGGTCTGATCAAGGGTTTACAGCTTTGCTGGAAGCGCTTTCTAATATATTGCCCTTGGACAATTGCATTCCAAAGTCAATGTATGAAGCTAAGAAAATATTGAGAGTTTTGGGATTAGACTACCAAAAGATACACGCGTGCCGTAACGATTGCATCCTCTATCATAAACAATACTCTACTTTTGAGGAATGTCCTACTTGTGGAGAGTCTAGGTATAAGGCTAAAAAAAATGGAGCTATAGCTCATAGCCACAAAGTTCCTGAAAAAGTTCTATGGTACTTTCCTCCAATTCCTCGATTCAAACGAATGTTTCAATCCTCTAAAACAGCACAAGCCATGACTTGGCACGCTACACATCGAGTCAAAGATGGTAAGCTGCGCCATCCTGCGGATTCACCCGCATGGCATCACGTTGATAAAATGTGGCCCGACTTTGGCTTAGAGTCTAGAAATCTTAGATTAGCTCTCTCAAGTGATGGAATTAATCCACACAGTAACCTCAGTTCTTCATACAGTTGTTGGCCCGTTCAACTGATCATTTATAACCTTCCACCTTGGTTGACGATGAAAAGAAAGTTCTTGATGTTATCTCTATTAATCTCAGGGCCTAATCAACCTGGTAATGATATAGATGTCTACCTAGAACCGTTAATTGATGACCTAAAAACTCTTTGGAATGACGGTGTAGATGTATATGATGCATTCAGGAATGACACGTTCAAAATGAGGGCTATACTGATGTGGACAATCAGTGACTTCCCTGCTTACGGTAACCTCTCGGGGTGTACCGTGAAAGGGTATTTTGCTTGTCCTGTTTGTGGCCCTAAAACAAGTTCAATTTGGCTCAAGTCAAGTAGGAAATGCGTGTATATGGATCACCGCCGTTTTTTACCTAATGACCATAAATTTCGAGATATGAAGAAAGTATTCAACAATCGAGTAGAGAGAGAGGGACCCCCTGAGCCTTTATCTGGTAGAGATATCCTCAAACTGGTGGAAGGTATTAAATACAAAAGTGGGAAACCGAAGCGTAGCAAACAAAAGGGCAGGAAACGAAAACGAGGCAGCAACAAAGGTGATAGATGTAGACTGTTCAAAAGAAAGTCTATTTTCTTTGAATTGGAGTACTGGAAAGATTTGTTAATACGACATCTCTTAGATGTGATGCACATTGAGAAGAATGTGTGTGTGAGCATGTATGGAACACTCTTAGATCAACCAACAAAGACCAAAGATGGTCTTAATGCTAGAAATGACCTAGTTCAGTTGAAGATAAAGAAGAATCTCCAACCCAAGGGTAATTCATTACCTCCAGCTCCATACACTCTTTCAAAAGAGGATAAAAGACGGTTCTGCCAGACAATATTAGAAACAAAGGTGCCCGATGGTTATTCATCTAACCTTAAAAGCATTGTTTCTGATGATGACTGTCGCCTTCAAGGTCTTAAATCTCATGATTGTCACACACTCATGCAACAAATCCTCCCCTTAGCTATTCGAAATTTGTCTCTGACCGACAATGTGACTAATGCTATAACAGGCGTGTGTCTGTTCTTTAATGCAATTTGTGAGAAGGTGATAGATGTTGATTCATTGGACAAACTAGAGGCCGATTTCCGGGTCACACTTTGTTCCCTTGAACAATATTTCACGCCTTCTTTTTTTGATATAATGCTACACTTGACGGTTCATCTCATCGCTCAAGTGCGATTATGCGGACCACCTTACCTTTGTTGGATGTACCCTTTTGAGAGAAGCATGAAAATCTTAAAAGGGTATGTTCGTAATCATTATCATCCCGAGGGTTGCATTGCAGAGTGTTATGCAGCCGAGGAAGCACTTGAGTTTTGTGCTGAATACCTTTCCCGTCACAAGGCAATTGGATTGCCCAAAAAAAGGGATGTTGATGATGATGATAATGCCCAAGTTGAAAGACCTCTTGGAGGGGGTGACACAAAGGTTGTGGATTTATCACTATTGGATCAAGCACATCGAACTGTATTATTCAATACCCCTGAAGTGCAGCCCTACATGCAGTACGTTAAGCTATGAATACCCCATTTTTAACCTACCCGCCATAAAAAGTAGGCTACATTCTGTAATCAATTGTATAATTTCAAATGCTAGGGAACATATGATGCACCTGCAATTAGGGGATGCAGATTGTTCTGAAACAGAGCATTTCCTTACGTTCACTAAGTGGTTTCAACAAAAGGTCATTTTCTTATATCACACACAAATATATATATATATATATATATATATATATATATATATATATTTGTGTGTGTGTGTGTATATATATATAGAAATATATCAGTTGAGACCCGCTTTCCTAATATGAATTACTGAATACTATATTATATATTGTCGTAGGTTGAACTTGATGTTGCAAACGGTGTAAATGTGGACGAAACAGTGAGGTGGTTAGCTAAGAAACCCAACACAACTGTCAGTATATACTCGGGTTATACTGTTAATGGTTATAACTTTGCCACTAAAGCCCGAGATTCAAACCGTGTTACGCAAAACAGTGGAATTTGCCTTGAGGCAGATTCGGTACGAGTGTCGAGTTATACAAATAACAGTCCTTTAATGGCATCCACAAATTTTTATGGTGTGCTCGATGAAATTTGGGTGCTTCACTACCTCATGACCAAGAGGGTCGTATTCAAGTGTGATTGGGTTGATGGTAGGCACATAACTAAAGATAAACTGGGCTTCACAATAGTAGATCTGAAAAAACTTGGTCATAAAAATGACCAGTTCATTTTACCATCTCATGCCAAACAAGTCTTTTACGTTAAAGATCAACTTGATAATAGAAAATCAGTTGTTTGTTCAGTTGGTCAAAGGGTGAGTAATAGTTTACATGATGCGTCAGAAGATATGGTTATACATGAACCTCTAACTCTAAAGTATCCAACACCGCTCATTAATGAGGAGAATCCAGATGATGAGGGCATTTATAATAGAGTAATATGTGATGCACCTATGTGTAAGTGATTATATAGTGCTCTAGTCCTATTTTAAAATACTATTTGTGTCATGTTATATAACGTTTTTTAAACCTTAATTGAATTTCAATCCATGTTTTATCTTCAGGATCACATAACCAGTTATGTCTGCTGCTGAAGAAGATCTGAATGACTGGGAAACTGAGGAGGAAGAAGATAAGTATGTTGCGAGACCGTGTAGGAGACAAAAGACAAAGAAGAAACTTTTGCTCAAGAAGGCTAGTGATGACAAAGTGATTGTCCAGGCAAATGAGTTTGGTGTTCTTTCAGGTGATGGCTGGACTGAGTTGGCCAATTATATAGGAGTTGTAGTTAGAGATAATGTGTCGATACTATTTGATGATTGGAGACTAGTAAAAGATCAACAGAAAGAGAAGCTATGGAAGCATATTAAGGTAACAACTAACAATTTGTGGCTACTTATTTTAATTTATGGTGCTGCACTAATCATTTCATTATGTTTGTATGTTCCAGAAATTGTTTGTCGTGAGTCCTAAGGGTAAGAAGCAAGTTTTGAGTACAATGGGAGTAGCTTTGAGGAATTTCAGGTCTACCTTAAGGAATGAATTCATCTTCCCGCACAAGGACAATTTGAAGATGTTGCGCTTACCTCCAAAAGAGTACGAGCACATACCCACTGATGAGTGGAAACTGTTTGTCCTGAAAAGTTTCAAAGCAAAATTTTTAGTAAGTCAAATAATGCATTCTGAAAAGTTCATAAAAATGTAGTCTCTTTGTTCTAAAAACTATGAAAGCAAAAAATACTTTAACTCTTAGTAAATTTTGATGATGCTACTAAAATGATCCTAGGCAAAGAGCAACAAGGGGAAAGCAAGAAGAAAGAAGAACAAGTATAACCACAGGTTGGGGTCATCCGGCTATAGTGGTTTATTGAAGAGGAAGGTATTTTGGTTATTTTTTTGTTGTTAATTATAGTAGTAATAATATCACTATAAGTGTTTTACTGAAGATATATTAGTGTTATAACAAGTAAGTTTTATATTTCAATTTTCAAAATTGTTAGATAAAGGAACTTGGAGCTAGCTTGAAGGATCTTGATCGGGCTGATACATGGCTATTGGGCAGACAAAAGAAAGATGGTGGGTACGATGAGGAGGTGAAAGAAGTTGCTGAAAAGATAGTAAGTATAATTCAATTACCACATACTGTTTATTATCCTTAAACTGAACACACACATACTAGTCACCGTAGGTTGATTGCCATTGTTACTACATTTTCTTTGCCGGGTAGTCATAAATTTTTATTTAATTAATAATGGGCTGTATTTATTTTTTCACCATACTTATACACAAGTATTTGTGATTTTCAATTACCAGATAGAAACTTTTTCAGTCAGCCATTGTATTTGAAACTATTTGGCTATTGTAGGGAAGGAGAGTACACATCAACACATAACGTGTCTGTAGTTTGCATTCTTAGATGATTTACTGATGAATTTGAAATATAGTAAACTCATGTATATCTCCATGGATACAGTAATAGAAGTAGTACTCAGTATATTGATAAACTGAACATACACATTCTGATTTTTACTCTTAAACTGAACACCCATACATTCTGATTTAGTGATGATTTACTAATAAATTAATTATGTGAGCAATATGATGTGTGTGGCAAGAGTGTTATATCTTTTTGGATACAGTAATAGAAGTAGTACTCAGTATATTGATAAACTGAACATACACATATATTCTGATTTTGACTCTTAAACTGAACACCCATACATTTTGGTTTACTAATGATTTACTAATAAATTAATGATGTGAGCAGTATGATGTGTGGCAAGAGTGTTATATCTTTTTGGATACATTAATAGAAGTAGTACTCAGTATATTGATAAACTAAACATACACATTCTGATTTTTACTCTTAAACTGAACACCCATACTAAATTTTGTCATGCAGAAGGAGTTGAAGGCTAAAGTGGAGGAAGGGTCATTTGTGCCATGTGGCTCAAATGACATTATGGCTGCCGCTTTGGATAAAAAGCCCAATGGAAGTAGAATCCAAGGAGTGGGTCACTTCATTACTCCCACCATGTACTTTCACATGCCGATTGGTGGAGTTGAAGAGAAGGACGTTGAGAAGAAACTTTGTGATCGAAGGTATGATATGATGATAAAGCGTCTTGATGAACTGAAAGCTGAAGTGAGGCAGTATGCTTGTAGTGATATAGGCAGTTGTAGTGTTCAAGCAAAGTCTACGACATCTCCAAAACGAAAAAGAAAGGTTTGTACTCCCTACATTCATGAAGCAATTAAGACAGTAAGCACACTTATATTTTTCTAATACATTAATGACGCAATTATTAACTTCTTGATAGGCTACTACAGAGGTCGAGAAGCACGTTACTCCCTTGAAAAAACAGCACTTAGTTTCCAGAAAATCTCCAAGACGTGTCTCTAAAGAGACTGAATCTAAAACTCAAGTAGCCAAAGATGAAGAGCAAGATCATGAGGTTAAACGACTATCAAGAAAAAAGAAGAATGGGAAAAAAAAGGTACATTTGATTCACGTATTATTTTGAAAAATAATAAGATTCAAAATTAATTATTTGAGGTTGAAGAATGATAACTTTTATACCTTATCATTTTAGGTTAAAGATGTTGAAGTTGAAGATGTGAGAGACAATATAGATGATTGGGAAGCAGAATTAGGGACATATATGGAAGAAGAGTGTGAAGAAAAACAACAAGGGCTTGCAAGTCAAAGTCCCAAAAAACCGCCCCAGCATTTCATCGAAAATCATGATCCTACATTGGTTGAGAAACAAGTAGAGGATGTAAGGGAATAATTGGAGGATCAAGGGGTTGTCATCATCAAGGAAAAAAACAGGCCTGCAATGAAGAAAAAGGTTGCGCCTTCAAGAAAGCTAAATATGCAAAGAACGACGAGGTCTGTGATGGAAAAGAGAAAAGAACAAAGCGTTCAATTGAAGATGTTCTCTGTTTTTATTGAGGGATGCCTCGGAGATGGCTACCCAATCAATCACGATGAAGAAGTGTTTGGATTCTCAACAAAATCTTCCTTTAATAAGGATGTGTGCAGAATTGTTATAAACTGTGAGAGAGTTTCAAATTCTGTCATAGAAATTTGGTGCAAGTAAGCTAAGCCTTTCAATCATTGTGCTCTATATATCTGTTAATATACTATTCACGTGTACGCAATGTAATAACTTAATTAATGAATTTGTAGGCACCTTCATGAAAACATGGTTGAATTGGGGGAGATGCCTGTACAGTTTGGGACTTCTGCTGCCATAGCATGCCCAAAGAGGCTATCAGATGAATCGGTGACTAGAAGGTCTCAATATATTTCAGATATTTTAAGTGCAGCCTTACCTGGACAGATCACCTTGATCCCGTATAATGCAGGGTATGGTATTAATATAATATAAAATTGTCTTATTATATGTGATCCTGGAATTAGTTGAGAAAGGAAATCCCTTTTTAAAAATCTTTGCTTTGCTTATGTTTTTATATAGTTTATGGTTTGTTACAAGTACAACAGGTTTTCTTAGAATTTGGTTATAGTTTTTTTAGATGCCTCTTATTTTTTGTGAACTTTTTGAAATAACCAGAAATCTTGATAGACAAAACTATCGCATACAAATACCATCACTGCTTTCTATAAGAAATAGTTAATCTGATCGTAGTGTTAGAAAGAACCTATACAAAAAACTCAAAGCTAAGAAGCATCATTTCTTTCAGCAAAAACTTTGGACATTCCAAGTTTGAATGTATATTCATTTATAATTCTTTTATGGGTGTATATTATGATCACAATGATCATGACTATTTTCAATGCAGCGACCATTGGGTGTTGGGTGCCATTGATCTTGAAATGAGTAGGATCTACTACTTGGATTCAATTGGAGATACTCCAGCTGCTGATTTTGAGCTTATTATGAATCAGTTACATATTCATTTTTCTCGTATTCCTCTGTTTTTGGACAATTTTTACTAATCAGTCATATATGAGGAGTCCTTGAGTCTGCCGTGATGAAATTTTATAACTCATTTTCAGGGGAGTAAAGATCTATCAGGCCGCAAAGTCAAATAAGAGACTAACATGGAGTTGGTTAACTGTAACGGTATCACTTGACTAGTAAAATTAATAACATCTCAACCTTTAATTTATATTTATTAAATCCTAAATTGAAATTTATATATGTAGTGCCCAAAGCAAAAAGGTTCAATTGAATGTGGCTACTTCGTGATGAAGTATATCAAGGATATCGTGGGCAATGTGAATGTGTTGAAGAACAATGTAAGACAATTTTAACGTAATTCTTATTTCACTTAACTTTAATGTCAAATTGATAGTTTACTTTAGTGACAAGATGAGATGGCAGTTCAGCTTGATTAAAATTTCAAGTCCTAAGATTTGAAAATGCCTTTGAGTTAAAATCTCATATGTACACAATCAGCAATTAAAATCTGTAGCTAAGATTTGAAAATGCATGTGTTTCTTGACATCAAGTCATATTTTGTATTACCTGGGAGTATAATTCTTTTAATGTTTGGTTTTAACTAAAAATGCATAAGTAAAAATGTGATAGGTTACTTTAATTTGAACGTAATTACTTTAATATTTAGTGTTAGTTTTTACTATCTAGTTAACGTAATTGTTAATTGTTTGGTGTAGTTTTCTGCAATTATGGACTATTCTGAACATGACATCCTTCAAATACGGGAGGAGTGGGCTTCGTATGCAGCAACTTTGGTGAAAGAGTAAGTTGAAATGTCTTTGTTCAAAAATTGCCTATGTTGTGATGTGTGATGCTACGTCAATATCAGTCTTGTGCACTTGGTTGTTAATCAATTGTGTATTTTTTTTGTGATTAGTTGAATGAACTTTGGGGCTGCAAATGTGTTCAAGGAAAGGCCAGCTGGTGAAAAAATGTGAAGATCTTTTGGGAAAAAATGTTGTGTTATGATGTAGTTGGGAAAACTAAGCATGGAGGTGAACCATTGTTGTAATGCTTTTGTGATGATGTATTATTATGCTAGGAGTGTTGTGAAACTTTAACAATGGCATGGTATACTCTGGTGTAGTTTGGATTGGCTAGCTTATTTTGACTTTAATAGCTAGCTTGATGATCATTTTGAAATATTGTGACTTTGATAAGTTATTTTGAGAACATTTCATATTTATTGGTTGGTATGAATATATAAAATCTAGGTGTATGATTGATATTAAAGAAATCCTGGAAATAAGAATATTCAATATATATATGGAAATATTTCAGAAATGCAAAATGAAAAAAGTTAAGTAGATGATACTAAGATGTCATCATTTTGGTTGACAATAGTATGTCATTAACTACCATGACACAAAAGTGTCATAATTTAGCATGACGCAAAAGTGTCATACATTATCATGATAGAAATGTGTCATAACATTTAGACACACAAAATTATCAAAGTTTTATGTGATTTTTATGTATCATTAAATTTGGAGACACCATAGTATCATAGAAAAGTATGGTGTTTATATATCATAAAATATGTTGTTACTCTTGTGTCACAATTTGGTGACACTAAGTCGTGACACTAAATTTAGTGTCACAACTCCCAGTTTTCGTTGACACTTTCCTAGTGTCAGGAAATCTTTCGCTGACACTAAGTTTGTGTCACTATAGGGCCATTTTCTACTAGTGTCACATACTTATGGCAAAGGGTAAAGTTTAATCTAGCGGCGTATTTAGGTATTGTGTTCAGTTGTCTGAAAAACATAGGGTACACTTTGAAAACGTCATTATATTATTACGATCTTATGTTCTGGTTCAAAGAGATATAATACCGTTTATCGTGGTAATCCAAATGCCGGATAGAAATTTGAGAGGGGCCTAAAGGCTATTGACCGTATCTCACATATATACTCCTTTTATGGGATATATAACTTGGTATTATAACATATAGCCTTAGGATATATGTTAGCAAATTTCCTAATATCTTCATTTGGGATATTATGTTAATCTTTGCTATTGTATAATAGGATTTGGTGAATTAGGATGCATATATTAATTCCAGTATCTATGATCAAGGTTAGGTAAATCTCTATTAGGGATAAGTGCACCCTCAAAAAAAAGTAATACACTCGACAAACAATGTACTGAAATTATTGAGTTATTATCATCACACTATCCGTACAGTAAGCACTTAATCAATTCTATTATACGGGATATATGTACCATACTATGTGAAACGAGTTCTGTAATTTATATCACTGTATTTGTGTCCACATGCCGAAAATTGTAACTAGCGAGAATGAGCTAAACCCGAACAGTTCTCTTATAAATCATAGTTTCCAGATTAACAAAGGTTCATCTGGTATTAATGAACCTATTTTTTAGCGCATATACGTCAAAATACCTAAGCATGAAGATTTGGTAGCTTTAAGTGCTCGATAGATTATGTAAAACGTAAGATTTGAGTGTGTTATACACAACAAGATATGGAACAATACCCCAACGTTTTCAGCACTTTTAGCCCTCTCGGAGTTTTAGATTCAAATATCTTAAAGTTTTATGATGAATAGCTATTGTTTCAACTTCATTTACAATACTTTAAGTAAAAGGCGCTAAAAATAAGTCCCTAAAACAGGTGTATCACAATAGTAAGACTTAAATGTGTATCAAGCGAAATATCATTCCCTTGATATGAGTGTCCCTTGCCCATATACTTAGTAAATGGGGTTCACTAAGTATATCTCTTTTTATCACTAACATATAAGGCCATATTCAAATATTTCGAAAACGTAGCTCAATGGTTAAACATTTACGAGCAAAATATACATGTGTATATCTTACAATATACACATGTATTTGAAACGGTAATACGTAGTATTTTGTTAATTTCAAATATTTGTTACAACTTCAAGAAATATTTCGTCATACGATAAAACCAGTCAAATATGCATTTTTAATAAGGGACTTGAGGCTTTTAAATGGATAGATTACCGGTTCAAGTGCTCTATTGACACTCATCTAGCGTTTAGGCAATTTCGGGCCCGTATTGAGAGGATTCGTATTATTGTCAGCCTTGAACTCGGCTGTTTATTTGTGATGTCGTATGGTGAATACCTCGACACTAAATCTTACCTTAGGATGTTTTCTTTTGGACTGTTTTCAGTCCCAGACCAGACCAGATCAGACTTAAACAGACCAGACTAGACCATACCAGACTTAAACAGACCAGACCAGACCAGACCAGACTTCCGTAGTTATAAAATACACAGAGACCAGACGTTTACCAGACCAGACCAGTTCAGACTAGACCAGACCAGACCAAACTTAAACAGACAAGACCAGACTAGACCAGACCTAAACAGACCAGACCAGCAAATTTGAGTCCAAAAGAAAACATCCTTAGTGTGTTTACCCTTTCCTTCATATCTCAAGATCTTGTGATATGGCCTATTGCTCGAAGATCATACTTAGGGATTCCTTTAGAATAAGATATCCAAATCTTATCTATTACGTGCTAATTTGAATCT